GATAATAATATTAAAAATAAAAAATAAATAAAAAAGTATATATATATATATATATATATATATATATCACTAATATAAATGCAGATGAAAAATTGAAAAGAAGATGGGACCGATAGAACAAAGGCTTCGACGATCGTTTTTTGGTTGAATATTGACAAGGAGAAGCTCCTATAGGACTATAATCAGCCTTCAATTGTAGAACTTTTAACATTAAATCACCTGCATAGTCTGAATCAACGTACCCCACAACTGAAGGATCATCTTGCTGACTGCCAAAAATAATTTCATGTCCTACAATACTCTTCAGACACTTGAAAATACATTTGTCTGTTTTTAAATGTCGTCTTCCTGGTTTAGACATGTATTTGCAGACTTGACTAACATCATGAGTCAAATCAGAGCGAGTACATATCATTGCATACATCAAGCAAACAACTGCACTGACATATGAAACATTTGACATGTCTTCGGTTTTTGTATCTGTCTTAGGACACTATTCTCAAGAAAGCTTAAAATTATTTGCCAATGGAGTGCTCAAAGACTTTGCTTTGCGCATCTCAAACCTCTCTAGAAATTTCTCAACATAGTCTAGTTGAGATAAACATAATTGTCTTGAGCATCTATCTCGATGAATCTCCATTCCAAGAATCTTCTTTATAGGACTCAGGTCTTTCTTGTCAAATTCCTGACTCAATAAAGCTTTCAAACCATGGACATCATGCATATTTTTTTGCAACAACCAGTATATCATCAACAAACAGTAATAAAAAAATAATAAAACCATCATTAAGGCTCTTGACATAAACACAACAATCATACTCATATCTCTTGTAATCAATATGAATCATGTAGGAGTCGAACCGCTTGCACCATCGTCTTGGAGACTGCTTCAACCCATACAATGATTTCTTTAATCTGCAAACCAAATGCTCCTGTCCAGGTTGAGTGAACATTTATGGTTGCTCCATGTATATGTATGTATATATATATATATATATATCACAAATATAAAAGCAGATGAACGACTGAAGAAGAAGAAGGGACCGATTGAACATAGCCTTCGACGATCGTTTTTTGGCTGAATATTGACAAGGAGAAGCTCCTACAGGACTCTAATCGACCTTCAAGATGATCACAAGGAGCACTCTTTAGGATTAGATATCGATCGAGTTAAGACTTACTAGACGATCAACAACTCTCATTGATTAAATTAGTCTTCTGTCTTATTATATGATAACTCTGTAATTACAAAAAAGTTCCTCTGAAAAGTCAATGATAAGAGGACTAATAAGTAATTATGTAATAATGCAATCTATGCCTATAAATAGGGGTCCATATCATACATAAGGTTTGCACTTTATTTTACTGATCCCTAATGTGCTTCTATTTTAATCTCTTTCTAATCACCTCCTGAAGTACAATCTATTCCTTGGGTTTGTTTCATGGACACTTTTAGATTCAACATTCTTTAAGATGCGGTGAGCATAAAAACATGACGTCAATAAGAAAAGGAGCCCATCAATAACAATAGGGAGAGTCCAATCAGAGGAATGTATAAGAAGCACCATGCACCCGAGAGTTTAAGAAAGAATTCATTCAACAATGCTAGCAAGATTTGAGAAATCAGATCACCAATCAGATGTCAGGACAGTTTGCAGAAGTAACAAAAGCGGGCGCTGCCCTAGAAGGGGATTGTATTCCTCCCCATATTGATCATCTAATATAAAATTGGACATTATAATAGTTAACATGAACCGGAAAAAAAAACTCATTAAACAATAAGAGCAAAAAAGTAACATGTTTTTGTGTTTAGTAATAAACACAACAAGGAGTTGAATTTAATGCACGTTTTTTTTTATTAAAACACTTTAAGTATCTTGTGCTTCATAATAAGTGCATTAAGGTTTTGTGTTTTACCCCTCGAT